GCTGCCTTCAACAGCCTGGCACAAGCTGAGTCCTCCCCTTTCCTCGGAGCGTCTTGCGGAAACAGCCGCTGGCCAAGGCGCGGGGGCGGGGCGTAACCCAGCCGCTGGCCATGGCTGCGGCAGGAGCCGCCTTCGCTCTCAGGCTCCGCAGCCTGGACTGAGCCTCTGCCCCCTTCGCTGCGTCCCTTTGCAGGGAAAACCTGCCGCTTCTGGACTCTCCAGCTTCTCCACGAGGATCTCTGGAGAAACTGCCCCTCGCCCTTCCACAGTGCTGGTGACTCCTCCAGCTCCTGACAGCCCAGCAGCACTAGGCACTGTGCAGCATCCTCGCCGGAGACGCTCTCCTGGAAAAATGAGCCCCTTCCCCAGGAGAGCAGGGCAGCTCCCGACCCCGCAGGGCCCCCGGGTGTTGTTTATCTTTGCGCAGGAGATAAAGCAGCTGTTGGCCATCCCATTTTGGGGCTGGACAGCTGTAGCTTGCCCTGGCCCATCCCATCCCACCACAGCAGGGGTAGGGACCTCCCAGTGCTCACCAGTCCCCCTGAGCATCAGTTTACGGTGGCTGGCTGACAATCCTGCTGAGTTGCCCCGGGAAGATATGACCCGGCCCCCGACCCACAGGGGCAGCCACCTCCCAGGACTTGTTCCACAGGTCCCCATGACACAGGGCTCCAGCCTCCCCTCCCAGTGCCATTGCATTGCACCCCAGGGTGCTTGCACGCTCTGCACTGGACTGTGCCCCATCCCCTGCACACCGGGTTGAGGAGGGAGCTGGGGCTGAAGGCTGGGCTGGGTGGGATGAATCAGATGTGGTGATGGTGTCGGGACTTCTCCATGGCCATTCAGGTCTTTGGGGAAGCTCCCCTCCTCCAGGGCAGAGGGGTTGGGGTGGCACTCAGGGGTGGGGGACGTGCCCAGGCTGGCTAGTGGCAGCACTGAGGTTTGCATGGGATGCAGTGTGTCCCATTGCCCTGGGAATGATCACCAAGGGACCCGGCCTGGCTGGACCAGCACGGCTTAGTTCCTCCCCAAAACCTCCCTGGTGATAGTAGCAGCTCTGGGGCTCTGCACATGTGTCACGAAGTGTGTCCGTGCTCAGGCTCTCTCCAGGGCAGCAAGCAGGGCTGCGTCCCCTCCACCCTCCTGCTCGGCCTCTTTGTACCACTGGGGTCTGTGATGCTCCTAGCTGGAGAGAAAGAGAAATCCCCCAGACAAACGGCTATTGACGGCTGCAGTGGAGGTGGCACAGAGAGATACTGGAGGTATAGACGGGCATGGCAGACAGCGGAGCAGATTGAGAGATACTCGGAGCAGAGAGATACCGCAGGAGGAATCGGGAGATAGATCCTGCGGGCTGATCAATAACCACTGCATGCGGAGGGACAGCAAGATAGATCGAGCTGCAGGGGGAAGGTGTTTGGTGGGCAGTGATGTGCATTTGTCCTGGCGACGGCTCTGGGGATCTGCCGCTCGCAGCTGCTTCAACAGGGGCTGGGACAGAGCCAGACCCACGGTGCAGGTGCCCGTGGCTGTCTCCTTGCCTGTCTCTGGCCACCCCACAGGGATTTGGTGTCCTTTGAGGTGCCCTAGGGTCCCACCTGGCCTCCGGGTACCAAAGCGTGCGTATCTCCTGGGTGTCCTGGTCACATCCTCCAGCCCCGAGGGATGTCCCTGCCTGCTGTGGGCATGTCAGAAGGTGCTGGGTGCCTGCGTGTGGGCAGCCGACAGGGAAAGGGGCAGATTGAGTGCAAGTCCTGGCCTTGGCGCAGGGGCTGTGCTGGAGCTGTGCTGGGTGACTGCGGATGTGTTCCCACCCCATGCCTCAGTTTCTCCATGTGAACCAAATGATGGCAATCCACAGGGAGCTGGGTCCATCCAGCACGGACACGGGCATGGGTAAGGAACAGGGAAGAAGGGGAAGAGGCAGCAAGAGCCTGTGGGATGTGCCATGTCCAGGACCCATCCCTCATCTGCTGGTCACTGGTGACACTTTTCTGCTCCCTGCTCCGTAACACCCAGCTGCAAACACCCGCCCCAAAGGGAAAGGCTGCTTTTTGGGAGCCTTGCATGCCTGGCACTGTCCCCCCTGGGATGGGGACAACCCCTTCGGCCACAGCAAAGCAGCCAGGGCTCCCAAGTTCCAGCCCAGCTCCATCCCGGTGGCACTTGCCCAAGACACCCTGTGCTGCCCGGTTTCTCTGCCAGGCACATCCCAGCATAGCTGGAGATGGTGAGGAAGGTACCTCTGGAGCAACCCTTAGCCTGCGGCCAGGCTGGGGGGGGATCCCCCGCCCGCGATGGAGTTATTGACACGGGCGCTATGGAAAACACTGCCGAGATTGTTCACACTAATGTTATTTAGCAGCAATATTTCCGTAATAAAAGAAATCAATGGGCAAGAGAAAAGACCTGTCCAGAGGTTTGATTTTCTCATTTTAATGGCATACTTATTTACTCCCACCAGCGTGCCCATTGGATTTTCATTACGCGGCCTTCGCTGTAAGTGGAACGGTATTGATACGAGCTGCTGAGTTAGCGCCTTCCTGCGCGGGCCGGCGTGGGATTGCTCATGTTCCTCAACAGGGCCCTGCTAAATCCCAGGGAATGGGCACGGCACGAGGCCAGGGTGGCCTTGAAGCCCGTAGGAACACACGAGCACACACAGCCAGCCTGCCAACACACGTGCACATACATGGTCTGTCCATGGGCACACAGGCGTGCACACACTTCTACCTGGTTGTCCTGCCGGTCTGTACACACATGTATGCAGACACTCGTCTCACCCGCACAGGCACACACACATGCATGTGACTCTTCTGCCTACACACATGCGTATACACAAATGTCCTACCCATACGTGCCCCAGCACTCACACGTGTGCAATTGCTCTGACCACATGGACAGATGCCCAGTTGTTCTACCTATATACACACATGTGCACACACGTGTGCAACCCCTACCTCTTCTGCCTACACCCACCTGCAAACTGTTCTACCTATATGCATGCACACACCTACACATGCCTAACTGCCCTGCCAAGACACACACACACAAAACCATCCTGCTTGCACCTATACACACACGCATGTGATCTGTCTGCCAGCATGTGCACACACACACATGCACACACAGAGACTACACACCCTGTGTTTCCCTCCTGTGCCCTTCTCACACCAGAGGGTGCGTGTGTGCGGGTCTGTGTAAACTTCTCAAGACCACCAACTCACTGCATTTGGGTCCGCCTACTCCCAGGGCCACACACCCAGCATCAGCACCGTTCCCCAACAGGATAGAACCCCCCGGACTCTTGGGTCCCCCACGGAAGCAGGGCCCTGGCACCAGCCCGGGCTTTTGGTCCCCAGCGACTGCAGCGGAGAGAGGAGTAACAGCACCATCTCCTGCCGGTCTCCGGGAGCTGAGACAGGCCTGATCCTGCCCAGCACTGCACTCCCCGAGCTCCCAGGACCCGGGTGGGATGATGCCAGCTGCCCAGGGACACCCAGCTGTCCCCAGCTGCCAGCAGGACCTGCTGAGCCTGGAGCCAGAGGGATCCAGCACCATTCCCCGTGGTGAGCAGGGGCTCAGCACGCTCCAGAGACTCTCCCGGGGACCCGAGCCAGTGGGATGAACAATTTTATTACTGATATCTCTTTTCAGGTGGCAAATTAAGAAGTAGCCCGTGTGCAGGGCTGCCAGTCAGCAGGTCGGGGACAGTCCAGGGAGCAGGAGGAGCGACATGCTACAGGTCTGGTGACCAGGGACACACACGTTAGTTTGGCAGCAGCGTGGAGGTGAAAGCCCTCCACCAAGCACCGAGCCCGCACGGGGCTGCAAGCAGGGTCTGCAGCCAGGCTCGGTCAGGGGACCGCAGCGCTCCCTTGGCGGCCGGGACCCCACGTTGGGAGCTGAGTGGGGTGGCTGTCCCCAGGGGGTCTCACAGCCAGGGGAAGCATTTCGGGGGGCGAGATCCCATCCTGAGCTAGTACAGAGGTTCGGGCACCCGCAGACACTAGGTAGGTGCATAGCCCAGAGGCCACACAGAACGGGCTCTTGATTAAGGCGACAGACGGTGGCTCTCCCGCTTGGGAGGGACTACAGGGAGGGGGACCATGGGGAAAGGGAGCCTCTTCCAGCCCCAGCCATCTCCTGGGGCAGGTGACACACAGGGGACCAAGAGGGACCTCCAGCACAGAGGCTGGGCATCCTCTCACTGCTGGGGGGTCCCAGCACAGATCCTGCCTCATGCCAGCGTGACACTGTGTGCTGCCAACAGCAGGGACGGAGCCACGGAAAGGGACCCTCTTCCAGCCCCAGCCATCTCCTGGGGCAGGTGACACACAGGGGACCAAGAGGGACCTCCAGCACAGAGGCTGGGCATCCTCTCACTGCTGGGGGGTCCCAGCACAGATCCTGCCTCATGCCAGCGTGACACTGTGTGCTGCCAACAGCAGGGACGGAGCCACGGGAGATGCTGCCAGCTGGACACAGCGCCCTGCGCTGCCCGCAGCCCCATCAGCCTGCCAGGGAGATGGGGAACCTCTTGGCTGACCTTTACAGCAGGTGCTCTGGCCCAGCTCACCCCACGCACCCTGCCCCGAGGGCGGCATCCTCCTCCTGACGTCTCAGGAGCTGCAAAAATTTTGCGGAGCCTGGGGACAGCCAGCTGCAGCCCCTCTCCTGCTGTACGCCAAGGGCGCGCAGGGGTGTTTGTACCCTGCAAGGCCGCTCAACCCCCAAGGGATGGAAAAGCAGGACATAGCTCCAATCAAAAGGGGGGAGAGGCAGGTAATAAAGAGAACTGGCGGTCTGTATTGCTGTGACTGCCACGGTCCCTCTGTCCTGGCACCCAGCTGGCCTACGGGGAAGGACAGAGCAATTTCGGGGAGGCACAGGGGGTCTCCTGCTGCCTCTGCTAGAGCCTGGGCTCAGGGAGGAGGAGGAGGAAAAGGGAGGAAGGCTGGGAGGAGAGGAGCCTGGCAGGGCGCCCTGGCGAGCCGGGCTCAGCAGCCCAAGGTGCTGAAGAAGGCATTGGCTTCCAGGAGCAGGCCCTTGGCATAGACGCGCAGGGTGTAGAAGAGGGTGACGAAGTCCTGAGTGCTGAAGAGGGTGTCAGCCAGGGCGAAGGCGAGCGTGGAGGGGATGAAGCCCCGGCCGTACTCCACCATCCAGGTGCCCGCGCTCCACTGCACTGATGTGGCCTCTCCCGCCTGGTGCACGATGGTGTCCCCTGCCAACACACACAACCAGCACTGCTCGCAGTGGCTGCCCAACATTGTTCCCAAAGAGATGTGTGGGACCGGGACTTGCAAGGCTGAGCACTCCGGTCCGCACACCCCAACCCCTCCCCGGTCTTGCTCGCTTTTCTCTTACTGGCACCCACTGAGATGCTGGGATATGCCCCAGGAGACACAAACTGCCCTGTCGTGAGCTCTTGGCTTCTGCCAGCTGGAAGGAAGATGCTCTGCAACAGCGGAGGACCAGCCTGCAGAGCAGCCATGCCCTGGGACATGGACGCAGCCCGCAGGGCGCCATGGCTGCTGTGCTTACCTGGATAGTAGATCTCACTTCTGGTGGTCCCCTCTTTCCACTGCCGGAAGGTCCCCGAGATGACAGTGTCGGAGATATCCGCCCAGTATCGACCTGCAGGAGTATATACAGCACTGGCTCAGCGCATCCCTGCTGGAGATGGCTTGGGCGCCCAGGTCTGAGCCATGGAGCAGCCCTCTGGGGGGAAGGATGCCAGCCCCAGGGCCTCGACACACTGAGGAGCGCAGCTGGGTCTGGTACTCAGGCTGCCTGTGTGACTGGCCATATCCTACCAGCCCGGGCTACTCGGTGTCTTTACGCTCCATTGTTTCCAGCGTGTTTGGCATTCACTCCCTGCTGAAGCACCGGGAGATGTGCTGCCGGCCACTGCCTGCCAGCTAGATGCGGAGAGTCCTGACCACACGACATGGCATCCACAGGGACCTGCAGGTGCTGCAGGACACCACAGGGGCTGGTCCCCAGGCGGATGGTGTTTTCCAGCATCGTGCACCCCGTAAAAGAAGTGGAGCGGCAGGCTCCTGCCCCAGGCACACCACAGCCGGGACAGCCAGACCCAAACGAGTGGAGCAGAAAGAGCTCAGAGAACCCCCCCGCCTGCCAGCCCTGTTGGTCCCGGAGGGCCCCCCAGTGTCAACAGCTGTCCCGAAGAGCAGCACGTACTCAGTGAGCGAGGCGTGCAGGAGGCACATAGAGCCCATCCACCCGCCTGCGTTCACGAACACCCACTGCAGGTCCTCATCTGGCAGGATGTGGCCTGGGTGCTTTTTCCGTAGCTCCACGATGATCTTGGAGAAAGCCAGCTCATGGTCCAGCCCTGCAGCACCCGGGGTTGCCATGAGTCCCTGGCATGGAGCAAGGCCTGCTGGCCCCCCCAAATCCCTTCCACAGCCACAGGG